CCAGCCCGATGTGCTGGTACTCGCGCAGCGTGCCCCGCAGCAGGTGAGGGATCGGCGTCTTCACCTGACCAGGTGAGACAGGTGAGCCCCAGGTGAGCCCCAGGTGTGTCACAGGTGCCCCCAGGTGAGCCCCAGGTAACCCCGCCCCCAGTCCAGCCCGATGTGCTGGTACTCGCGCAGCGTGCCCCGCAGCAGGTGAGGGATCGGCGTCTTCACCTGCACAGGTGACACAGGTGTGTCACAGGTACCCCCAGGTGAGCCCCAGGTAACCCAGGTGCCCCCAGGTGAGCCCCAGGTAACCCAGGTGAGCCCCAGGTGAGCCCCAGGTAACCCCGCCCCCAGCCCAGCCCGATGTGCTGGTACTCGCGCAAGGTGCCCCGCAGCAGGTGAGGGATCGGCGTCTTCACCTGCCCAGGTGAGACAGGTGTGTCACAGGTGTGTCACAGGTACCCCCAGGTGAGTCCCGGGAACTCCCAGATGAGTCCCAGATACCCCCAGGTGAGTCCCAGGTACTTCCAGGTGAGTCAGTCCCAGTTGAGACAGTCCCAGGTGAGTCCCAGGTGAGTCCCAGGTGAGTCCCAGGTACCCTGAGGTACCCCCAGGTGAGTCAGTCCCAGTTGAGTCAGTCCCAGGTGAGCCCCAGGTGAATCCACCACAGGTGAGTCAGTCCCAGGAGACTCCGAGGTGAGCCCCAGGTACCCCCAGGTCAGTCCCAGGTACCCCAGGTGTGCCCAGGTGTATCTCAGGTGTATCTCAGGTGTATCTCAGCTGTACCCAGGTGCCCCCAGGTGTATCTCAGGTGTATCTCACCTGTGTGGTTGCCAGTGTGTACCCTTTGGGCTGCAGGCTCTGAGTGCCCAGCTGTACCCAGGTGTGCCCAGGTGTGCCCAGCTGTGCCCAGGTGTATCTCAGGTGTACCCAGGTGTGCCCAGGTGTATCTCAGGTGTACCCAGGTGTACCCAGCTGTACCCAGGTGTGCCCAGGTGTATCTCAGGTGTACCCAGGTGTACCCAGCTGTGCCCAGGTGCGCCCAGGTGTATCTCAGGTGCCCCCAGGTGTATCCCAGGTGTGCCCAGGTGTACCCAGGTGTACCCAGCTGTACCCAGGTGTATCTCAGGTGCCCCCAGGTGTATCTCAGGTGTGCCCAGGTGCCCCCAGGTATACCCAGGTGTATCTCACCTGTGTCGTTGCCAGTGTGTACCCTTTGGGCTGCAGGCTCTGAGTGCCCAGGTATACCCAGCTGTACCCAGGTGTACCCAGGTGTGCCCAGGTGTGCCCAGGTGTGCCCAGGTGTGCTCACCTGCGTGGTTGCCAGTGTGTACCCCTTGGGCTGCAGGCTCTGAGTGCCCAGGTGTGCCCAGGTGTATCTCAGGTGTACCCAGCTGTACCCAGGTGTATCCCAGGTGTATCTCAGGTGTATCTCAGGTGTATCTCAGGTGTATCTCAGGTGTGCTCACCTGCGTGGTTGCCAGTGTGTACCCTTTGGGCTGCAGGCTCTGAGTGCCCTGGTGTGCCCAGCTGTACCCAGGTGTACCCAGGTGTGCCCAGCTGTACCCAGGTGTATCTCAGGTGTATCTCAGGTGTATCTCAGGTGTATCTCAGGTGTGCCCAGGTGTGCTCAGGTGTGCCCAGGTGTATCTGACCTGTGTCGTTGCCAGTGTGTACCCCTTGGGCTGCAGGCTCTGAGTGCCCAGGTGTGCCCAGGTGTGCCCAGGTGTATCCCAGCTGTACCCAGGTGTATCTCA